TAATAACATTGGTATGGAAATAAAATGTTAATTTAGTTAATAATAACAACATAAATCAAATCATCATTTTATTAATAAATCAATGCTCACAATAATAATTGTAGTTGTTGATTAATACATTTTATGAACATGAATTTAACAACTGTTAGAAATGTCAGCATTTTATTGACTGAAAAATAGACACATATTTTCCAGGATAATAAACCCAATAATAATTATTATAATTTTTATTGTACTAATGTGTTAACTTGGTGACATGGTGGCTCGGTGGTTAGCACTGTTGTCTTATTGCAAGATAGTAGCTGATTCAAGTCCCAGCTGTCAGCTGTCATTTGTGTGTGAAGTTTCCATGTTCTCCACATGTCCATTGGGTTTCCTCCAGGTGCTCCGATTTCCCCCACAGTCCAAAGAAATGCGGTACAAGTGAATTGGGTAAGGTAAAATTGTCTGTAGTGTATGAGTGTGTGTGTAAATGAGTGTATATGTGTTTCCCAATACTGGGTTGCAGCAAAAAAGCATATACTGGAATAGTGACCTCTGTACTAGAGAATAAGCAGAAGGAAACTGAATGAATGAATGAATGAATGAATGAATGAATGAAGGATGTATTAACACATTAACACAATTTAATATTAAAAGGTTAAATAATAGTTGTATTAATACATTCATTCATACGTTTTCTTTTCGGCTTAGTCCCTTTATTAATCTGGGGTTGACACAGCGGAATGAACCACCAACTTTTCCAGCATATTTTTTACGCAACAGATGCTCTTATAGCTGCAACCTATCAGTGGGAAACATCCATACACACTCATTCACACACACACACACACACACACACACACACACACACACACACACACACACACACACACACACACAATGGACAATTTATCTTACCCAATTCACCTATAGTGCATGTCTTAGGATTTGTGGGGGAAACCGGAGCTCCCAGAGGAAACCCATGCGAAGACGAGGAGAATATGCAAACTCCACAAAGACCCAGCCAGGGCTCGAACTAGCAACCTTCTTGCTGTGAGGCGATTATGCTACACACTGCACTACCGAGCTGCCCCATATGTTTATACATTAACACTTCAATAAATTAATAGTGTTGTTAATATGGTAATACATAAGTCATGCATAGCTGCTTATTGGTTGATTGATTGATTGATTGATTGAATGATTGATTGATTGATTGATTGATTGATTGATTGATTGATTGATTGATTGATTGATTGAATGATTGATTGATTGATTGATTGATTGATTGATTGAATGATTGATTGACTTATTAAATATTAAATCATAATACAGTGATGGAAATATAACTATATTTTTTTCTGAAGGATTTGCAGTGATGCAAGAAATAGAAAAGGTATTTTCTGATAACAAACTTCAAACACCTGCTGTACACATATGCTGGATTGCAACCATTTAACAGCAAATGTTTGTAATGAACAAATGGGATCATTAGGAATCCCTGGACATTTTTTGTAAATAATTATTACACAAAAGGATGGAACAGAGAATTAAATCATTCCCCAGAACTAATGAAAATAATTCACCTGCCTCAATTCAGACTCATTAGCAACTTCTAGGCAAGTGTTGAAGCTAATTGGAGCTCAATTTTGCAGGACAATAGCCCTCCTGGAACAGGACACCTCTGCTTTAATGCCTCAAGTCATTTTAGTGTGACTGTAATATACTTAAGGAGGCTCTCTTAGCACAGTGCATGTCTGTATGCGAAACCTAAAACATCTGAGAGCATCAGATTATGATTACAACATATCTTTTTACAACATACTGTATACTTCTTTATTTTACTTAAACTTTTTACAATAGTTTAGCCATGTTTCAATCTAAAGGATTAGTTCACCCAAAAATAAAGATAATGTTATCCTCGCATCTCATGTCTTTCCATTCCCCTGAGACCTTCAATGATCTCCAAAATATAAAATGAATATACAGTAGATGAAATTCACTTGTCTTCTGTTCTGCATCAAATTAGGGTGTGCATTTATTATGGACACTACAGAACGACGTATTTCAGTTGCACAACATGCAAGCATCATATTGCCTGTAGTAAATACACAACCTGATCTGATGCAGAAGACATTGGCAAATTAATGTGATCATCTGTAGAAGCATTGTCTGTAAGTTTATTATCTGTTTGTATTTATGTTTTATCTCAGATATTAATGTCAAGTACATAGATAACTATAGCTCATTCTACGTACATCTTTTTATATAGTTTCACTTTGTTTCAACATACTCAGTGTGGCATGGAATAAAGCAGCATTCTCCCACAATCTCACGTGTTGGAAAGAGTGTATCTGTCTGTCTAACTTTGAGAAGAGAGATAAACTCTTCACAAGCCGGTTGTGGTCATAGGCAACTTAAATAATTATAAATAATGTAAGTTTTTAATATTTTGATTTCAAAAGTTTGCACTTAGATATTGTTTATTAATATTAGCAGGTTTGGCATGCTGTCCTGGGAGAGAACCCTGAGCTCGGAGATAATTGAGCCCAGGGCTCCTGCCTGGTTGATGAGCATGTAAGGGGGTACGAGATCAGGTACAGTAGTTCTTGAGAGCTCCCCTTGGTAAAGGAGGAGAGGGGGAAGGTGCGGTGGATGGGGGATTCTTTAAAAAATGAACATAAGGGAGTAATACTAGATGGGCTATTTATAGTGAGTTTGGATTAATTTGTTTGGCTTAATAATGATTACGGAGAATCATGTGCTCCTCTTGAAAATAGTTTGTGAAACTTGACTTAAAAAAAATGCATATTTATAATGCTATAATTTGTATTGTACCATCTTTGAATGAAATTACAAAAATAAATAAATAAATAAAATCTGTTTCTAACGCACCATGTCAAGTATCTGGCTCCAGACTTCCACAAATACAATAAGCTGAGACATGCAATCTCAGACAGATGCACTCAATGGAAATAGTGACATCCTTTGTCAAGGGGTAGGGTTAGGAATGGGGTTAGGTGCATGTACACATTAAAGGGCACCTATTTTACAACTTTTTCAAGATTTTGGATAAGTCTTTTGTGTCTCTAGAATGTGTCTTTAAAGTTTTAGCTCAAACACCCATCAGATTATTTATTAGGCTATACATTTCAGAATGTTGGAATCTTTAAACAATATTTAACCTTTAATGCTGGTTCTCCTCGCCCACCGTTCCCATGTGCCTGTCAGTGTGCCTCAATCTTTAGTAGCATCAGGTAAACAGCACTGTGACAGACATGAAGGAAGCAGATCTCACGTAACGTTTGTGAGAAATACTACTGTAAGAACTTTCCCAATGATTATTTGATGTATGTAATGTGGAGTTAATTAAAGCCTTTCTGCAACGATGAGTCACACACATTGTTGTTACAAAGTTCACACACACACAGCACGCATTTAACTTTGCAATTTTCTTGGACTGCAAATGTGACAGAATACACGTTAATATCCATGGAAATGTTGATGTTATGTTGATGTACAAAATAAACCTGATTTAACGTCCACAAACGGGGATTGAAGCAGCTTTTTTTATAACTGTACTGAAATGCGGCTGTGGTGATGAAGTAAAAACGGTAAAATCGCTGTATAATTCATTACAAACATACACTGTTTTAAAACATTTTAAGCTTGTGAAACTCATACTTGATCACATTTGATGATGATTGATGATCACAGAGAGCTAAACAGATCTTTTAATGCCAGTTGCTTTACGCACATCCTGTCTCGTTGATATGATTATACGCATTACTATGGAGACATGTTAATACATGGCTGTCAATCAATTCTGTGGGCGGGGAAACTGCACTTCTACATCACATTGCAGTGGACCTCAGAATGAGAGGGATTTGGATCCTATTGTCAGAAAAAAAAGAGACTTGTTGTGTTTATATCACTCCAATATAACTGGGGACACACTATACCTGCACACAGTTCTGTCCAAACAGCTTCCAAAAGATGACTTTCATTATAGTGCTCTTTAAAATCCCTGCATGCTGTCTCAGCTTGCATGTGCATCTGAAACAGCCAGACCCCTCTCATCTATGCAGGACAGTAAATTACACTGTTCTTTCTCTTTTCTGGCTTCCATTATCAGTCTCACACATTTGTTTTTTCTTTTTCTAAAAGTTTTTAAAATACTATTGCAAACAGCTCAAAATGCAATGCAAACAATGTATTTCTTGTACTTTCCCATTCACTGCTCCAAGTTTAAGTAAGGCTGGGTGATTTGGCCTAAAATCAAAATCTCGATTAGTTGAACATTTTAACTCAATTACGAATAATGAATGATTATTTTATATATTTATTTTATTTTTTTGCCATTATAGTTCACTAGCAGATTTTTACAGTAAATATGCTCACATATTACAAGTGAGAGATTTTTAAATGAAGGGTGCATTACTTGATTTTAATTGAAGGAAACAAACACTATCTACTATCTATGATTATTTATTGAACATCAACGTTAAACAACTGAAATTAAAACACATATTGCCTAAGACCAACAGTCAATCTTTCTTATAAACAAGTGCAAATAAGTAACTTGCACATTTGCAAACAAAATAAATAATTTTCAATATTTTTCATATTAAAATCTCTTGTATATCATGTGAATAATATTTTAAACAGTGCGTTTCTTGCATCTTCTGTAAGCAAATGTTTTCACAAAAAAAAGTCCCAAGGCATCTCTGGCACAGCTTACACAAGCGTCAATGTAGTGCAAAGAAACACAATAGAAGCAAAGAGAGCAGGGTCATGTGACTCCACACGCCAAAAGGTAAGTAATTGAAAAAAAATTACCTGGAAAAATTAGATCGATATAGGTTCTGAATGTCGATTTTAAATACTTTTCGATTAATCACCCACAACTAACCCTATAAGCAACATATTTCAGATTTGCTAAAATGTAGACACTACCCTCCATTAGATTTGTCATCTGAAATGTCTTCCCAAAGCAACTGTTTTATGTTGAGGGCATGTTTTTTTTTTTTTTTAAAGTTGACTTTTATTTTCAGTCACCACATTCCATATCACACATATACAGTGACTGGACACATCGACACCACCTTTAAAAACAAACAAAAAAAGAAAAAGAAAAGAAAAAGCAGAGGCGTCTTATCAGTCAGGATGTTGTGAAAACACTGGACCCGAACAGGCCCTCCTGAACTACAGTTTGTCCCTGTAAAGTTTGTGTCGTTCATATTTCAAACACAGCCTGAGAACACTGTGTCATCCAGAAAGCTGACAAGCACTGATCCCAGCAAAATCAGCGTAATCTCTCAAGTAAACTTGTTTGTTCAGTGCTAAATGTTATTTTGACAGCCATAGCTGAGGGCTCTCACTCGCTTTATTCCTGCAACATATCTCTCTCTGACTCAGGACCGCGGCTTCTTAGGTGAGACCCTTTGAACCGGCCGAGTTAAAAGGAACAAAAGCAAACAAATCACATTGTTCTTCCAGGAATTTTTCTTGTTCACCGCCTTTCATTTCTCTCTTTTTTAGCCACTTCTCTCATTCAGAACAGCGAAGTCAATGGATCCTTACATCCCAGCTTGACAAGTTAGGAGGATACAAGCTAATCCCCTTAATCTGTCTATTCTCCAGTGCAGTGCCAAAGGGGGAGAGGGACCCAGCACAAGTAATCCTATAGAAAAAACAATAGGATTAGACCCCGGCTCTTGGAGTGACAATCAGATATCTACTGACTGATTTGCAAAGTAGGGTCGAGTTTCTTCAAATTAGCTTTTTTTTTCTCCTCTCTCCCTCCTCTGGGGAAAAGGTGCCTTTCATTAAGCGCTGGTGGGATTCCTTTGGGACGGATGCTGGAGGTCTGCATGAAAGGCATGTATTCTTGGCTGCGACACACAGCGCCTGCATGGCCTTCTATCACAGCACCCCTTCACCCTCCGTCAGGCCCTTTATGATTCAAACTTAAATGCCTTTCAGAAGTGTTTGACAGATGGGTCAGATTCAGCCGAGGATACATGTAGCAGATCAGAAAGGCTAAATGAGGAGCACAGTGTTACAATTGATGCATGCTCTTTTTATTTGATTATTTTCTTTCCAAAACATCTTTTTTTTCTTTAACAGAGAGATAAGGAAGTATATTGAAAGCATTAAGTAAATATGAAAATAGCATAATATAAAAAGTCTATAAACTATTTTTGCAAATGAATGCATTAATTAATAATACAGTTTAATATATTAATTCAATAAATAATAATATAAAAATATTAATATAATAATACTAATATATTTGTTTAGTTTTATATTCTGTTTAAAATACTGTATATTTATGTGCTATATTTGGTCATTTATTTATTATATATGCACTGTAAAACCCAAAAATTTAAACTATTTCAAACCATTTGAGGAAACCGATTGCAACAAAAAAATTTAAGTTCAAAAACTAATCTTAATGAGTACTGGGAACTTAATCCATTTAAGTAAACAAAGCAGTTTGAGCACAGTAAAAGCCAATAAATGAAGAGAACACAAACCAACTGAGTACTGTTAATTTATATACTATATATATGTGTGTGTGTGTGTGTGTGTGTGTGTGTGTGTGTATATATATATATATATATATATATATATATGTATATATATATATATATATATACATACATACAGTTGAAGTCAGAATTAATAGCCTCCCTGAATTATTAGCTCCCTTGTTTATTTTTTTGCCCACTTTCTGTTTAACCGAGAGAAGATTTTTTTCAGCACATTTCTAAATATAATAGTTTTAATAACTCATTTCTAATAACTGATTTATTTTATCTTTGTTATGATGACAGTAAATAATATTCTACTAGATATTTTCCAAGACACTTCTATACAGCTTAAAGCTTAATTAGGATTTAGGTTAACTAGGCAGGTTAGGGTAATTAGGCAAGTTTTTGTATAATGATGGTTTGTTCTGTAGACTATCGAAAACAAAAAAGCTTAAATGGGCTAATAATTTTTACCTTAAAATGGTGGTTAAAAATTTAAAAACTGCTTTTATTCTAGCCGAGATAAAAAAAAAAATGTCCTTGCTCTGTTAAACATAATTTGGGAAATATTTTAAAAAGAAAAAAAAATCAAAGGGGGGCTAATAATTCTGATTTTAACTGTGTGTGTGTGTGTGTGTGTATATATATATATATATATATATATATATATATATATATATATATATATATATATATATATATATATATATATATATATATATATAGTAATTGTAATAGAATTACACATCAATTACACAAACTTTGTTTCCTATATTGATAACAATATTTTTAACATTATATTGCATTTATATATTATATTTCGTATAAATAATACAGAAAAAACGAAAAGTGGACGGACAAACGTAATTTTGTTGTGTGAAAAAAATGCTGCCTGTGTTTTAAGTGTGGCAGAATAAAATGCAGTAGATGTGTTCTTCCAGCGTCCTTTAGATGGCACTATTGGTGTAGAATTACCTCAGAATCCTCTGCGATGTCACTGCCGATTGAAGCCTCTTCTTCTCGTCTGTGTGATTAGCCTCTATGACACTTGATACTTCAGCACAAGCTAATGCAGCTTGGGTAAGGCATCGTCCTGTAGGAAACAAGGGTCATCTGCACTGAATAGGAAGTCCTTGATTCCATTTAAGACCAGTGAACTTGGCCAAGCAAAACACGGTATGAATCTTAACTTTATCTCACGTTACTCTTCCAGTATGGTCCGTAAATAAAAGGGACAGTTGAGGATTATTGTGCAACTGAATAAAGTGTAAAAATATCACCTTAACCTGCAGCACGGAGGAAAATAATGGGTAGGATTTACCTTGAAATAACGTACACTCGGAAACTGAAGAAATAAATAAACTACAACTAGTTTTAAAGAAACCGCAAGCAAAACATTGCTTTATATGTGAAATTTCAAATTAAAAGTTTAAAATAATCTGGATTTGTAAAATATAAGTTAATATTCTTAGTATAAAACAAATAAACTACGTAAATATTTTGTAAAAATGCATTAAAAATTGATTTGATTAACAATGAAACAAAGTTCTGTCAGAAACAATTACACTTTTATGGTTAGAATTAGTTTATAGTTAGTAACTTAGCAAAAATGTAAAAAAATGAATGTAGTAAAATGTATTTACAATGAAACAACATTCAGCCAGATACTAATCTTTTATAGTTGGTTATAGTTAGAAAAACACTAAAGCAATACAATGTATCAAATGCATTATTTTTTATTAAAAGTCTGAAGTTTGGTTTTTTTAAAAATGTATTTCAATAATGTTTGTTTAAAATTTGGGGCATCACAGTGGCATAGCACGATCGCCTCACAACAAGAAGGTCGCTAGTTCTAGTCCCGGCTGGGTCAGTTGGCATTTCTGTGTGGAGTTTGCATGTTCTGCTGTGTTCACGTAGGTTTCCTAAGAGTGCTTTGGTTTCCCTCACAGTCCAAAGACATGCGCTATAGGTGAATTGGGTAGGCTAAATTTGTCGTAGTGTATGAGTGTGAGAATGAGTGTTTTGGGTGTTTCCCAGTGATGGGTTGCAGCTGGAAGGGCATCTGCTGTGTAATTACATGCTGGATAAGTTGGCGGTTGATTCCGCTGTGGCGACCCCTGATTATTAAAGAGACTAAGCCGAAAAGAAAATCAATGAATTAATAAAGTCTAAAATTTGGTCATTTTTAAAATGCAATTCAATGTTTGTATAAACCAACTAAACCTGTGGTAAAAAAACCTGTGGTAAAAATATAGTATAATTCCCCTATTAACTGGAGTCAAAACAGTTCTGAGAAACATGAATGGAGAATGTGGAGTTTTTGTTTATGCATCAACAACATGTAATACTTGATCAGAGATGAAAGACATGCTCTCTCTCTCTTCCTCACTCTCCTCAAGCTTAAGGTAACATGACGGATACTGTTTCACCTGCTAAACACTTTGCTCTCTCGGCCAAATAGCTTGGCTTCCCAGCTTTTCTTCCAACATCTGCCGGGAGAATCACGGTGTAATTGAGGCTTTAAAAAGGCATGCCAGAAAGCTCACCAGATGCATCATTACAGTCTTCGGCCTGTCTTTTGAAAGCTAAATTTATGAAGCGGTCTCTTGCTCAGGTCTTTTTTAGCGGTTTGCACTCATTGCTCTGAAGGATGTTGAGATGCTCGAGCATGTGTAATAGACGCTGTACAAACAAACAAAACAACCAGAGGCACGAATTAAAACAAATTATATCATAATGCTTTCAAAAATGCGATCCGCGGTTTTGAGTGCTCCTTGCCATCCAGATGTTTCTTCTGAGATCAAAGCAGGAATGTGCTCTGATGGTGTAAACCTATTTGTTGTGTAATACTGGTAGATAATGTAAACCCTAGTGCAGGAAAGTAGACCTTTTGTCCTCAAATTGCCAGTATGATTTTACAGTGATTTGTGCAGGTGCAAAGCGTGTAAAGTGGTTTTAATCCCACTTCTTTGTAATCACTGCCTTTTTATGCACCAGCATTTACAGAACTGCGCTGCGTGCACAGACAAGCGCACAGATAAAGTGTAAATAATCACGTTACGCCAGACGTGACACTGGTGGGTTTGCGGACAGTGTTTATGTGTGTTCCTTTGTGTGCTGTAGGTTCCGAAAATGTAATCCTCAAATCCCCTTCCCATAAGGCGCCTCCAACCCCTCCTCATGTCCTCTGAACTCTGAAAGTCTTCATTACCTTTGTCAGAAACTTTGAGTTTGTGGCTCAACCACAATTCCCTAAGGGTCTGCTGGTAATGACCTTGTGCATGATCGATCAATACATAGATAGACAAAAAATGTTCAGTATATGAATTGAAGAATTGATGACTGAGTGATAGACAGACAAATTTTGAACAACAGACAGACGGAAAGACTCTGAACAACAGAAAACACTGAATGATAGATAAATGAATTGAACAACTGAAAACAATCAGATAGAATTGAAAAATGAAAGAATGTGAATGAAATAACAGTTGAACAATGCACAAACAGACAGAAAGATAGAACTGAAAGAACTAAACTGTAAAAAATACATATGATTATTGAATGAATTAAAAAATCTTAATTGATTGAACAACTGATGATGATAATGATAATAATATAGATAAAATAATTGAACTGAAAACAATCAGACAGAAAAAATTGAAAAATGACCACTGAAAATTGCACAGACAGACGGACAAACAGAAAGATCTGAATTAGTTGAACAACCTATAAGGATGAACAGAGACAGACAGAAAGATAATTGAACAGTGCACAAACAGACAGTGAACTGTAAAAAAATAGAATTATTGAATGAATTAAATCTATTAATTTAATTAATTGAACAACTGATGAGGATGGACGGATAGTTAAAGGGATTGAACAACTAAAACAATCAGACAGATACATTTGAAAAACGGAAGAATTTGAATGAAAAATTAATTGAACTGCATGAACAGACAGACAAACAGAAAGATCTGAATTAATTGAACAACTTATGAGGATGGACAGACAGAAAGATAGATAGATAGATAGACAGAAAGACAGACAGACAGACAGACAGACGGATAAATAGACAGACAGAACGACAGATAGATTGGTAGGTAGGTAGATAATTAGAAAGATAATTAGACAGACAGAGATAGATAGATAGATAGATAGATAGATAGATAGATAGATAGATAGATAGATAGATAGATAGATAGATAGATAGATAGATAGATAGATAGATAGATAGATAGATAGATAGATAGATAGATAGATAGATAGATAGATAGATAGATAGATAGATAGATAGAGTCAACAACAGAAAAAACTGAATGATAGATAACGGACAAACAGAAAGATCTAAATTTAAGTCATGAGGACAGATGGACGGACAGACAGACAGACAGATAGACGTATGAATGATAGATTGTCAACAACAGAAAACATAGTGATAGATGAATGAACTGAACAACAGACAGATAAAATTGAACAATAAAATTATTGGAACAACAGATGGATGAATAGACTGATGTACAGAATGACTGTTAAAACTGAACTGTGAAAAAAGTGAATGATACATGAAGTAGTCGAGAAATGACCACATGACAGAAAGAAAGACAATAGAATTATTGAATGAATTTGAAGGGATGGATGGACTGACCAACACACAGACAGACAGACGGACAACTGAACAATGAAAAGTGATATAATTGAACAAACAAAAAACACAAAAGACAGTTAACTGAACAACCAATGACAGATAGATAGATAACAGACAGATATGAATGTAGGAGTGCAAGAAATAAACAGACACAGTAAACACTTTATTATAGCAAATCTCTAGTTCTGCATGCTTTTACAGAAGCACACAGTGTAAAATTCACTGCCTTCATTTTAAGAATATCCACAGTGTCATCCTCAGTATGAGTGAGTGCCCATTTCCTGCTGAGCTCCAAACCTATGGATTATTATTTATTAAACTGACCACGTCTTTGTGTCCCAGGAGGCCATATTTCCTGCATGATTGTACAATATCTGCACGGAGGCGTAGGCATTCCTTTTATCTTCAGTGACAAAATCAGCTAATGGATTGTCCCACATTGCATATGATCTAATTTATTCCGTGATTGACCATAAATCACACCAAGCCTAATACGAGCCCCACCTTTTAAGATTCACTTTGAGCATCAACTGTGCATTATCAGGGGTTTTAAACACTTCCTCTCAGAAGTTTACATACAAAAAATGGCAATTTTTTATGTTAGTTGTGTTAGTTTGCCCTGAGATTAAAACACTGTCATCGTTTATTCACATTCCTCATACAAGTTATGATAGGGCTTAAGATTTGGAATATATCATGAGTTTATGGACTCGTTTTATGATACTCTTATGCTTTTAATGTCTTTTTGAAGCTTGATGATGGGTCAATTCCTTTTTAATTATAATACATTAAAATATTTTTTGGCAAAGCAGTGGCGCAGTAGGTAGTGCTGTTGCCTCACAGCAAGAAGGTCGCTGCGTCGAGCCTCGGCTCAGTTGGCGTTTCTGTGTGGAGTTTGCATGTTCTCCCAGTGTTCGCGTGGGTTTCCTCCGGGTGCTCCGGTTTCCCCCTCAGTGTATGAGTGTGTGTGTGTGGATGTTTTCCAGAGATGGGTTGCGGCTGGAAGGGCATCCGCTGCGTAAAAACTTGCTGGATAAGTTGGCGGTTCATTCCGCTGTGGCAACCCCGGATTAATAAAGGGACTAAGCCGACAAGAAAATGAATGAATAATTTTTTCATTAAAATATCATGAAGGTGAATAAATAAATTACATTTTTATTATTGTTACCTTGCAACTCGTTATGCAAAGAAAACATATAAATGAGCCACAGCCACATCACCCTGCAACCCAAGACCAGTTACTTACTGAAGCTAAACAAGGCTGAGCCTGGTCAGTACCTGGATGGGAGACCACATGGGAAAATTAGGTTGCTGTTGGAAGTAGTGTTAGTGAGGCCAGCAGGGGGCGCTCAACCTGTGGTCTGTAAGAATCCTGACAAGTGTATCTGTCTGTGGACTGCAAGATGGGGGGGGGGCGCAAGATGTAGGGGCGTAACTTGTAGTAAAGTATAGACGTTAATAACGGTGATTGTTTGGGTTTAGGTTTAGAGAAGGCGTAGACGTTAACAACGGTGATGGTTGGGTTTAGGTGTGGGGAAGGTGTGGCTGGTAATAACAATGATGGTTGGGTTTAGGTTTGGAGAAGGTGTAGAGGTTAATAACGATGATGGTTGGGTTTAGGTTTAGAGAAGGCATAGACGTTAACAACGGTGATGGTTGGGTTTAGGAGTGGGGAAGGTGTAGAGGTTAATGATGATGATGGTTGGGTTTAGGTTTGGAGAAGGTGTAGAGGTTAATAACAATGATGGT